GGCGGCTGCCACGCTGGGGACCTCGTCCAGCCCTCGCCCAGGCTGCTGCCCTCTCCATAGCTCTGCTTTTGTGCCAGCGCTGCTCCTGCCTCCGCAAGGGGCTGGGGCTGAGCCCAGCGGGTGGGCAGGGGGAGCCAGCTGGAAACGCACGTGGGCTCCAGAAAGCAGTGAACTCACTCCCTGTCGCTGAGCCAAGATTCAAAAAGGCCTTTTTCCATTCAGCTGCTCTCAGAGCAGCCTCCTCCCCTTCCAGGCCTGGCTAATTTTACTCTGCTGGAGAAGGCAGCGCTGTTTGAAGCAGCATCGTCCTCTCCAGAGCCTGATCTCCCTGTGCTGCTCTTGGCTGGCACTTTCCCTTTCGCAGCAGCCAGTCCTGCCCCGGGTGTTCGTCTTCAGGGAAGTGACGAGTGGAAAAATCTGCTCAGGCAAACGGCTCCGGAGCAGGGAGTTCAGGCTGCTGCCGACACACAGGGTGCTGAGATCCCAGGGCTTTCTGTGTGGGAGTCCAGGCCTTGGGTCTGAACTCTGGCTGCCAACTGGACCCCAAAGGAGGGTCGTTAGCAAGCGGATCTGTCCCCTCTGTGTACCCAAAAGCACGTTCTCACTCCCTGTGCCTTCACCTCTGCATGTGCTGCTACCATCCCTACTCGTGCCTGAGGCCAGCTGCCCCCTGTCCCTCAAATGGCCCCGTACCGCAGCTTCTTGTCTGGCTGCAAGCACCCATTCCTCCTGCTCTGCCTCTCCCACCAGGTTCCTGTCATCTGGGACCACATCCTCAAGAAAAACAAGGGGAAGTGGGAGGCCATCACCAAGCACCAGGTGAAGCGTGTCTTCAGCCCCACTGAGGAGGAGCTGGAGCTCCAGGCACGTAGGTAAGGCTCCGGGATGTGCATGCAGGATGCCCAGTGAAGCCAGTATCCCAGTTAGCAGGGGCTGGAGCTCAGCACTGGGAGTTCGGAGGGGTCTGTGGTGCTGGCTGGGGCTGTCCCCTCTATGGCAGGGTGCAGTGGGGACAGCTTGCTGCTTGTCGGCAGTTCCCTGTGAGCAGCCTTGCCCCCTCTCTGCCTGCCACAGGTGGGCACAGACCTACAGCCTGGACATGATGGAGGCTCTGGCCCCCGACAAGCCCCGCTGCAGGGTGTGTGGCACGGAGGCGGCCAAGCGGTGCTCTCGCTGCCGGAACGAGTGGTACTGCACGCGGTAAGGGAGCTTTGCCACCCCCCTGTGTCTCTTGCAGCCCTCCAGTGCCCCTCCACCTCCCCCCTGGTGCCCCCTGCTCCCCAGAGCACCACAGACATCACTGGAGGGTGCTGTGAAAGGGCCAAGGGAAACCAGGGGTCCCACCACTGCCCAGCACTGCGGGTTCTCCGCTCACCCCGTTCCTCTCAAAGCCTTACTCTGGCGCTGCTGTGCTGGTGGAGGAGAAGCTGGTTAGTGTTGTGTCACCGCTGCCAGGCGCTGAGCTGCCCGTTCCTGTGTTTGCCACCCCACACCCACAGCAGCAACACGCAGGGTTTCCCACGGTGACACGGTCTCCCTCCCCTGCACCTTGGTGGGGTGGGCAGAAGTGGGGAGAAAAGTGCCCATGCCTCTGGGTGCAGGTGACAGGCTGGGATGTGGCAGCTGGGACGGCGGCAGTAAATTAAATCTTCTCTGGTCCTGAACCATATGGCTAGGTCTGCTGTTAAACCGTCTTAGCCCCCGGAACTGGGGGGTCGCATCCATCTCCCTCTTGGGCTAATGCTTGGCCATGCCAGATCCCCCCCAGTGCCTGGAGGAGTGTGGTGCTGGCGTTTGTCCTTGTCACTGGTTCACTCCTGGGATGGACGTGGCCCTGCCACGTCCCTTGCTTGAGCTGTGGTTGCCCCGCTTTGCAGCAGAGCCCCTGAGCAGTGGCCTTCCCCTCCGCAGGGTGTGCCAGGTCCAGCACTGGCAGAAGCACAAGGCTGCCTGTGACCTGATGGCCGGGGCAGCGAGGAGAGCAGACAACCTGGAGCAGAAACAGTGACTGGCATCGAGCCCACAGCTTGGTGAGGCAGAGGTTCCCCCTGTGTGCAGCCCAGCAGCCGGAAACGCCAGCAAAGGCCCCTTCTCCCTGCTCCCAGCCCTGGGCAGCGCTGCCTGGGCTCATCTTCCTCTCCTCTCCCACCTCCTTGCCCCGCAGCCTTCTCCAATAAACCTCCTTATGCCTCCAACTGCTCCTGCTTTTTCTCTCCTAGCTGAAGATGCTAAAGCGCTTCCTCCCCTCCCTTGCACCCAGGGAGAGGACTGTGTCCGTTTTTCCCCTCTGCAATGGAAATCCCAGAGAACCTGAAAAAAGACCCCGTACCCTTACTGTTACCAGAAAGGCCAAGCCTTTCACGCAGCTGAGGCGCGTGAGCTGTGGGAGGTAAGGGGGTGAGAAGGTCTCTGTGCTGCCTCTTATCTTTTGGCTGCTGTTGTTAGAGCCGCAGGGAGAGGCAGAGGATGTGGTTAGCATCAGCACCTCGTTTCTCGGGTGTTTGTCATCTGCCACCTTGCAGGGATACTTATTCCCCCTCCTCCTCAGCTGCTGTGACATGAGCACCCAGGGCCTGGCCCCTGCCCCCTGGGGGTTCACTGGTGGCCTGCTGTGTTCTGGGGGCACATCTCCACCTCTCCCCAGCCAGCAGCCAAAGCCGAAGGGCTGGAGCCTTGGTGTGAGCATGGCTGGGAAAGGTTAGTGGCGCTGGCATGGCCACGCATCTCTTGC